TTGTAATATGTGCTTAATTGTTTTTAACATGTACTTAGGATAATTTGTTAGGAGTGTGTTTTATGGCTTACCACAGCATTTTAGGCAAAATGAACTTGCAGTTCTTTATTGGCATTGTGCAGTCCTTAGGATTTGCATTAATTTGTACATCTTAGAAAGTGCAACCAGGTGGTGCACACCTTTAATCCCAGCACTTGGGAGGCAGAGGCAGGCAGATTTCTGAGTTCGAGGCCAGCCTGGTCTACACAGAGAAACCCTGTCTCGAAAACCAAAAAACAACAAAAAAACAACAAAAAAAAAGAAAAGAAAAAAGAAAGTGCAACCAAACAGGTTCAGCTTCCCTTGTGCTTCATGGAGGAGAAAGATCCAAATGTGAGAGTGCCTTGAGTTTCTTGGTAGCCAGTAACCTTGTACCAGTTTCCCCTGCCTCTTTTGTCCTTTCCTGTTCTCACTATCCTGGTGCTGATGATTGAGCCTGCAGCCTCACATATGCTAGGCAAATGCCATTGCCACTCCTGGGCATTCAAAGTCACCCAACAAATACTGTGTGGTGCTAGGTACTGAGAATACAAAATACACAGGTTCTTAACCTTAGGTTAGTGTTGAGAGGCCAGATAGCCACTTACTTAGTGGTGTTGAATAGGGAATACAGACATTGGCTAGGGACAATATTAGGTAATTGTTAAAGGGAGTGTTCCAGCTAGCTTCAGTTGTCTGCTTGGCACAGTCCACAGTTGCCTGAGGAAACCTCAGTTGGGGCATTACCTAGATCAGATTGGCATTTTTTGATGGCTTATTGATGTAGAAGGGCTCACCCCATTGTAGGTATTATCAGCCGTATGTATCTTGGGCTATATAAGAAAGCTAGCTGAGCAGAAGCCAGGAGCAAGGCAGTAAACAGCCTAACTCCATGGGCATCTGCTTCAGTTTGCCTCAAGTGCCTGTCCTGACTTTCCATGCTGATGGACAGTTAGCTGGAAGTGTGAGTCACATAAGCCCTCCCCACCCCCCTGCCCCGAGTTGCTTTGGTCATGGTATTTATCGTAGCAACAGACAGCAAACTAGAACATGAAGTTTGCTCAGAACCTGTGGTCTGTGACTCTTTTAGTTGACAGATGTAAGAATAAGAAACAAAGAATAGAAACGGAGGAGGATGAATGCTTAAGATAAATAAATGCAGCTACTTAAGATGTTTCAAATGTAGAGAGATTGCTGAAATAAAGGCATAACCAAGCATGGCAGCTCAAGCCTGTAGTCTTAGTACTTGGGAGGCAAAGGCAGTTAGACCGCTTGAGTTCCTGGCCAGCCTGGTCTACACAATGAGACACTGCCTCATATTTTTAAAAAAGGGCATACTGTGCTTGTATTATGAAAAAAATGATCACATAAGTCAAAGTAGACTTTTGAAATGAATTTAATGATTAAAATCATATTTCAAGTCAAAGTTTTGAAAAATTCTTGCAAACTGTTCTGAAGATTTCAGATTCTAGGCTCTATACTAGGAAAGCCTTTTTAATGTGTGGTTCAGTGTAGTGATTTTAACTTTAAAGTTTGAAATGATTTATTGGACATTATAGCTGGACTTGTTTAAGATATAAGACCAATTAAAGAATTTTGTTTTTTTATGTGAGTTTTACCAAATCATTTTACTTAATTCAAGATAATCGTAGACTCCCTGGATTATTAATTTACTGATGTTTCTCAACATGCTGTCTACCAAATGGAGTTAAGTTACCCTTGAGCATCACAATTTTAAAGAAGTCAGGTTTTTGAGGAAAAAATACACCATTTGTGTCTTTTAAAATTTTTTATATTTTTCTGTGTATGACTGTTTTGCTTGCTTGTATATATGTGTATATACTACTTATGTGCTTGGTACTCTTAGAGATCAAAAGAGGATGTTTGATCCCCTAGAATTGGAGTTACAGATGGTTATGAGCCTCCATGTGGGTGCTGGGAATTGAATCAGCATCCTCCGCAAGAGCGCCAGTGCTCTTTTTTTTTTTTTTTTTTTTTTTGGTTTTTCGAGACAGGGTTTCTCTGTGTAGCCCTGGCTGTCCTGGAACTCACGCTGTAGACCAGGCTAGCCTCGAACTCTCGAACTCAGAAATCCGCCTGCCTCTGCCTCCCAAGTGCTGGGATTAAAGGCGTGCGCCACCACCGCCCGGCTGCGCCAGTGCTCTTAACTGCTGAACCACCCCTTCAGATCCCTGAAATTGTAAATATTTAAAGCGAGTTTAAGTGTTTCAAATAAGTTTAGCTCTAAATAGTACTCAGAATATAGCTAGATGATGTCATCTAGACTCAAGACTTAAGCACCAGTTACCATAGTAACTCAAAGTACTGGGTTAGTCATACACAATTGAAGTGTAGTATATGACTTGCTCTGGCCTATGCTGATACTGATACCCTCAGATTGTCTTTTGGTGGTATACTGTAATTCTTCTCTCTCAGGTTATCAGTGGTCTATGAACATTTATCAGTTAGTATTTATTGCTAGAAGTCAGTTCTTTTTAGTCTGCTGTAGGCCGAGAACCTGTGAACAACTGATTGCTTTACTTTGTAAGTAAGTTGAGTTTGCCCAGATTCTGAATAGTACATCAGAATTGCGGTACTTTCTTGAATCTTAACGAATATTTTATCAGCTTTGTGGATTTTTGTTTTTTCAAAAAAAATAACCTACTCACATAGAAGTCTTCAGTGAATAACCCATTCTTTTTTGTTTTGTTTGAAACAGAGTTTCTCTGAGTAGCCCTGGGTTTCCTGGAACTCAGTCTGTAGACCAGGATGGCCTTGAGCTCAGAGAGATCCCCCTACCTCTGCCTCCTGAGTGCTGGGATCAAATGCATGCACTGTGCACTACCACTGCTGGTGTGCTCTTGCTTGCGTTCGCACCCTCTCTCCCTTTTCTGCTCTCTCCCTCTCTTGCTCTCTCTCACTTTTGATAATCAACTCTTAAACCATTTAAAGCATTTTTGTGGTGGCTCAATAGTTAATTGGTTGCTCTTCTTAGAGGATTCCCACCACCCATAAGGTGGCTTCTAACCATTTGTAGCTCCAGTTCCAGGGGATCTTATGTCCCCTTCTGGCTGCCACACGCACATGATCCACAGATATACATGTAAGCAAAAACATTTATACATGTAAAATAAACATAAAGATTAATTTATGAAAATACTTTTTTTCCCTATAATTTTGTAGTCTTATTTGTATTTCAAATTCCTCATCCAGTAATTCTTAGAAAACATATAGATCTCCCAGTAACACAGATTACCATGTTTTCATTTTTAAAATTTTCTAAATATTAAAAATTACATTTATTTATTGGGGGAAGCATGTGCTACAACATATATGTTGAGGTCAGAGGAGAACTTATAAGAGTTACTTCTCTTTCCGCTGTGTCGTTTCCAGAGAGTGAAGTCTGGTTATACAGCTCAGCGTCAAGTGTTTAACGTGTGACACCAGTGTCTAATGTGTGGGCCATCTCATCCAACATTGCTTTTCAGTTTTCTTTTTAAAAACCTTTTCCTGGCAATAAAGTCACATTTGGATAGTGAAGTTGTGTAAAGTTTTCTCTAGGAGTTGTTCCTTCTGTTTTTGTCTTTTTGTTTGTTGGTTGGTTGGTTGTTTTCTGGCACTGGGCTGCTTATCTGATCTCTCCAAGCTTTCTTTATTTACACTGGTTTTCTTCATTAGCAGTATGTCCCCAGTCCTGGGCCATTTTGAGTTGATTGTTCTTCTAGTAAGAACTGCATGTCATCCTTCCTTTCTGCTCCTTCCTGACCTGGAATATTGGGATGTGTAAGCCAGCTTCCCCAATTCTTAGTATTTGGTGACCATCCCCTGTATGCAGGACTTCTTAAATGTGTAGTGCTGGAGGTTGAGTTCAGGGCCTGACTGGCGTAAGCCGCTGGCCTAGCCAGGCAAGTACTCTGCACTGGGCTGTACCCACAGTTCTATGTGTTCATTCAGCTTGTTAGTCTCCATCTCCCCGGATTGGAGCCTCTCAGAGGCAAGAGGTCAGAGACTAGCGGGTGTCCTGTTAGGTGATCGTCCTTTGACCCACTCTGGGACCTGTGGACATCACATGCGTCTCTGCTGTCTGCCTTCATTTGGCGCCTTCAGCTCCACCTTCACTTCTGTCGGGGACCCATGTGCCCTATTTTTCCTCATGATCAGGGGAGTGACTGTTATGAAAATATGTGAGGAGGACAAAATATAAACCAGACCAAGATGAGGAAGCTGCTAGAACCGTAGGTAAATTCGTTCTTTTAGTTTGTTCTAATCTATGAGCAGAGATAATGACCACTGCTTAATGGAAGGTGCATTTATTAGAGTTAATCAGACTGTAAAATTCTCAGCCAGTAATACTTATGAAATCACCAGTTATCATTCCCCTGTTCCTTTATTTATAGGTACTTAAAAAACAGCTTTTAATATTTATGAGGAATATGGTTTACTAATTCTTATTAGCAAGCACAGTAGTTTCACATTTAATTGGCCAGAGTACTTACTGCTGTAGAATGGTATCTAGTCAAAATTTTAGTTATGTGCTGTGGCTACGGGGTAGAGGTAAGTTGATTGTGGCAAAAAGAGTAAAAGGTTCTCAATGCTGTGTATTTTCAGGGTTGTGTTATTTTATTTGAAATTGGTTTCCAAGGTATGAAATTGTTTCTGGTAAACCATGCCGTTTGAATGTGTGTATTGAAAGTTGTGACCAGATAGTAGCAGTTGTTAAGTTTCAAGGAATGAGACATAGCACTGTTGGAGAGCTCTTAGTAGAAGATGAGCCTTAAGGATGTGACACTTGTTCATCAAGCACCATCAAGTGAACAGAAGATTAGCCACAGGAGCTGGCTGTGAAGCCCAGTGGTTAGAGTGTTTGCATAACATGGCCAAGGCCTTGGATTTAGTCCCTAGGTTCTATGTCTTGAACCATACTCAACAAATAGAAATCATCTTTTTTCCTCAATAACGTTCCTTTCTATGTACTTCTACAGACAGATACACCATCAGGAATGGAATTGCCATCCTGGTATCCTGTTATAAAACAGGAAGGTGACCATGTTCCTCAAACGCATTCATTTTTACACCCCAGGTGAGTGAGCGTTCATTCAGCTGCTTGTCCAGTGGTGGTTGCTTTAGTTGGTTTGTCTGTCTGTTCATTATCTGTACCTTCCAGGTACAATTCTGGGGAATAAGACTTAAGTCCCTTACCTTTAGGTTTTCCTTGTTAACTAATTACCTTTGAAGATTCAGAATTGTTTTAGGCAAGAACGCTGGGGTTGTACGCACCTTTTTGTGTGTGCATATATAAAATTGCTATCTTGAAGTAGAAATTGAATCAATTTGTTTTATTTACCTTTAAGAGGTAAATTGACTCTTCAAAAGAGTTGAATGTGTTACTTTGCTTTTTGTTTTGTTTTTTTGTTTGAAACCAGTTTTCATTAGGTAAACCTGGCTGGTCTCCTTATGTAGCCCAGGTTGGCCTCAGATTCACAGAGGTCTACTTGCCTCTACCTCTTGAGTGCTGAGATTAAAGGTGTGTACCCCCTGCATAGTAATTTTACAAACAATTGGTTTTGAAACTTGGAGATTTTATAATAACCACATCCTTCACAATCAAGAGTTTATATATTTCAATAAAAATCCTAGTTGTCAGTCTGAACCTTAAAATTCAAACAATCACCATCATACAGTTAATAAGTCTTCTGGGCACTATTAAATCCATGAAAGATTATGTAACTTTAATTAGAATACCAAGTGTTCAGAGATAAAGAGTAGTAACATAGGTATCCTACAAACAGAATGTAGGACATCTGACTCTTCTGCTGCACTTGAGACGCTTTTCCTTCTGCTGGGTCATCTTGGATGTGAGGGCCTGTACCTGGAATTACTGTCACTGGTTACGCTGTGTTCCGTTGATACCCTGGGAGGTCTGCTTCCCCACCCCTTTAAAGGAAATCGGATGAGGAATAGGAAGGAATTAGGAAAAAAGAAATTGAGATGTAAAAGGAGATGAAAGTGTAGGGCAGGGTTAGATAGGGGGCCATCTCTTTTCTTGGAAGGTTACTTAGATTATAGATTATAAATCAAACTATGTTAACTATCTCAAGTTTGTTATGTAAGACTTATGTAGATAACTCAATAAGCTCAAAGTTATGTGAGCTTTTGAGAAAAATCAGTAGTTATCCTTTTAGTTTTAATTTTGTAGAGTTTACTATTACTATTTTATTAATAATTTTAAGAGATCATTTATAGATTTTGATGTAAGGATTGTTATAATATTCCCAGAACCTGTTCTCTCTCTGAGGTATCTAAGGTCCCTAGGACCTCACCAATATCAGCAAACCTCACCAACGGAGCTGCTGAGAAGCTCCAGAACTTCATGCCTGGAGTTATTTGTGTTTTGAGAAAGAGTCTTACTATATATATAGCCCAGGGAGAGAGGTCTGGAATTCCCTTTGTTGCCCAGGCTAACTTTGAATATGTGGCAGTCCTCCTGTTTAAGCATCCTACCTTCTAGGATTATAAATGTGAGGTATCATACCCGGTGTTTCATGCTTTCATGGGCAGGAGATTTTGAGGAAAGAGGAAGAGACTTTTGTTTTCTTTTTTTTTTTCTTTCTTTCTTTTTTTTTTTTTTTTTAGTGTTTTGAAATTACTCTCAAAATAACAAGAATTCCTCAGTTTGCTGTCCTTAAGTACTGACTTTCTTTTCTAAGAAATCTTTTCTATGGCCTGTATCCTTTGTATTTTATATTGGTTATTCTAGTAGCTGAGAACTGAGATTCTAGAACAATGTTGTCTTAATTCATATTTCAGTATGACGTAATGAGTGTTTTGTTTTTCCTTTCTGTCCCAGCTACTACTTGTACATGTGTGACAAAGTGGTCGCACCGAATGTGTCGCTCACGTCTGCTGCATCCCAGTCTAAAGAGGTCACCAAGGCAGAGACAAGTAAGTCCATCTCCAGACAGTCAGGAAAGCCTCATGGTAGTAGTAAGCATGAGAAAACAGTGTCTTACCCAGACGTCTCACTCGAGGAGCAGGAGAAAATGGATTTAAAAACCAGTAGAGAATTATACAGTCGTTTAGGTAAGTATTCGGAAGATACATTTTAAAAATCAGCTAGTTAAGAAACACATTTGCTCAGTATTTTAAAAGCTTTTTATATTTAAGGTAATTTCCCCCATATAACCACCGATTTTACTTTAAAACAGTTCTGACTTTGAAAACTCAAGGTGAGTTCTTTGCCCCTCAGTTGTGAGCTTTATAGAATGGTGACAGCCTGTGGAGGGTGACGAGAGGATGGGGAACAGCTTCAATGCAGTGATAACGTCACTTGACTTTCCCTTCCTCTTGTTGGTAGAATGCCTTATGTTTGCTATTTTCTTGTCCTGTGAGTGGAGATGCCACTTACCTGACGTTAAGTATATTTAACATTGGACTTGTGGTTCAGGAGGTATAGAATGGGACAGCTTACACAGTAAAGCAAGGTTGGGACAGACAGATGACACTGGTGCAGGTGCTGGCTGGTACTTCAGAGAAAACCTACATGTTTCCTATGCCTTCTAAAATGCGTAGACCATAGGGGAGATGTGCATGAAGGTACGGCCCTGGTCCATTGTGCATTGCAGCTAAGCCTTGCTCAGTGCCCTGCAGGTGAAGGAATTTAGCTTCCCTGTGGGTGTCCGTCCATCCATCCTGCTGTCTCCTATCTTCATACAGTGTGACAGCTTCCTGTACTCAAGTTGTTTTTGCTATGACTCAGTTTCCTCTGAATTGAGTTATGATAGTAGTGATTCCTATATTATTATAACATATCTGAATTCTGTTTGGCTTTTAATTAAGTTGGTTTTTTTTTTTTTTTTTTTTTTTTTTGATTTTTCTGTGTAGCCCTGGCTGTCCTGGAACTCACTCTGTAGACCAGGCTAGCCTCGAACTCTCGAACTCAGAAATCCACCTGCCTCTGCCTCCCAAGTGCTGGGATTAAAGGCGTGCACCACCACTGCCCGGCTAATTAAGTTTTTTTAATGATTAAAAAGTAATGTAAGGGATTGGAGAGGTGGTTCAGTGGTTAAGGGCACTTGTTGCTCTTTGTGAGGACCTGGGTTTGATTCTTAGCACCTACATGGTGGCTCACAATTTACCTGTTAACTCTAGTTTCAGGGGACTTAGTTTCTTCTTCTGACCACTGCTGGTACTACATATATGTACACATGATACACAGTATACACACAGGCAAAACACAGCTAACAGACACTAAGTCTAAAAAACTAAGTGAGGTACATTTGACCTACCATAGAACTTCAAAGCGTACAGTTTGTTTGTCTTTAGTGTAACCACCATGTCATGAAAAACATCACAGCTGTTTAACCCTAGAGCATTGTCATGGCGCCTATACAGATCCCTGCCATCCTCTAGCCATCAGCCCATCTTCTTCCCCTTTAGCTCCTTGACTATGTGTGGTCTTTATGGATATGCCTATTCTGGACAGTTTAGATAAAAAGAAGGACATTATGTGGTTTTGAGGTCTGGCTTTTATTAGGCATGTTTTTTCTCCACTGTGTTTCTGGTAGGAACAATTATTTATTTATTTATTTATTTATTTTGGAGAAAGAACTTAATGTGTTTCCTTTGGCTATATGTGTTTTGTTTAACCCCTCTTCAGGCAGTAGATGGTTTGCATTGTGTCCTTGTGTAGTTATTATGAAGAATACTGTCAACTTGTATGCAAGTTGTAGTGTGGACTTACATTTTTAGTTCTTGTTGGTAAATAGTGGTAAAGTGTGTTGGGCTGTATAACTGCTAACGTTTTGAGAGACTGTTATACTGTTCCATAGTAGGTACACAGTTGTGAATTTCTCAGCAGTGCATGAAGGTCTCAGTGTCTGCACACTGTGTCAACATTGGACCTGCCTGGTCTGAGTACAGTCATTGCAGTGGTTATGGTCATGTCTTGAATGATTTGGGCTTGTAATTTTCTAACGACTGATAAAGTTGACTATGTTTGTATGGTTTTCTGGACATTGGATATTTTGTTTGAAGAAGAAGCCCAATTCACAACCTGTGCTTGTTTTTAAGTTGCGTTGTCTCTTTTTGTTGAGTTCTAGGAGTTCTCTTTATGATTGATCCTTATTAGACAGAGGGTTTGCCAGTCTCACCACACTTCCCTTGCTCCTTTCTGTTAGACAGGTGGCAGTCTGTATCCAGCTCAGTTTGTCTGTTTAGTTTGCTTTCTTAGCTCAGGTGTCTTACCTGTGAACAATTGTGTACTCCCAAGACCAGAGAGATTTATATGGCTTCAGCTTTTACAGTTAAGTCTTTGATCTTGTATTTAGGTCATTTTGAATTAACATTTATATTAATAGAAGGACTTTTACTTCTTTGTTTGTTTGCATCTTAGTATTGCTGCTCATTTGTTGAAAAGATTGTTCCTCCCTGATTGAATTGTCTTGGCACCATAATAGCAGCAATTGAAAGTTATTGAGACAAGATCCTTGTTGGCAGCCCAGGCTGGTCTTGAGTTTGACCTACATCAGGCTCCTGGGTGCTGGAATCACAAGGTGTATCTTACCTACCACTCCTGGCTTGGATTCTGAAATTTTTTGTTAATTTTTAAAGTTAGCATTAAGTTAGTTAAGCAAAACAATAGGCTTTGTTACCATATTTTCATACATACATATCCATATACTTTGCTCTAAAAATAGGTAATGCTTTACAAGTTTGCATGGTTTCCTTGCTCAGGCCATGTAGAATTGTGACTCACTGCACTTGTAGCATATGTCTATTGAAGTGAGCACTTGGACTCTGTTCCTTTTTGCTTATTTAAATGTCTAGTCTTCAGTCCTCATCACAGTTTTGATTGTGTGTATGTACGATGTGTTTGTGTACATGTATATGCATACATGTGTGTGGGGTTCCGTGTGTAGGTTAGAGGACAACACTGGGTGTTGTCTCCACCTCCCATCTTGAGACATAGTCTTTTTGTCATTTGTCTCCTAAGCTTCAGGGATTCAACTGTATCTGCATTTATTTTGCCTTAGGAAGGCTGGGGTTACAAATGTGTGCTACTGCATATAGCTTTACAAGTGTTCTGGGGGTTCAAACTCAGGTCTTCACACTGATGTAGCAAGCATGATCAGCCCCACATTGGGATTTCTGTAGCTTGTAGGAAGATTTGAAGTTGGGGGTGTGAGTCTTTCCAACTTTATTTCTCTTTTTCTAGGTTGTTTTAGGTATTTTGAATTCCTCACATTTCATTGTGAATCTTAGAATGAACTAGTTAGTTTCTGCAAAACTCGGAGCTGGGGTTTTGCTGTGGATTACATTACATAGATTAAGTCTTTAGTCCATGGGGTGCCACTTCCTGGCTTCATGTGTTAGTGTCATTTGTAATTGTCATCTTGCACTACATTTGTAAATTTTCTTCCCTAAGTATTTTATTGCTATTGATTGATTTATAAATGTAACTTTTTTAAAAAATAAATTACTTATGGATTGTTCCAGTGACTTTTTACCAGTGATATTAATACTTCCCTCCCCCCATTTTTTTTTTTTTAAGATTCATCGATCTCAAATAATTCTACAAGTAAAAAGAAATCTGAGTCTACTGTTTGCAACTTAGTACGAGACGTCAGCAAGTGTGATTCTGAGGCTTCCTCTCCACTTCTGGTCAGAGATGTTACTTGTGAAGACGACAAGGGAAAGATCATGGAAGATGTGATGAGAACCTATGTAAGACAGCAGGAGAAGCTGAACTCGATTCTGCAGAAGAAGCAGCAGCTGCAGATGGTAAGCTGTCCTGAGCAGTAGCCATTGTTCTCTCTGTGATTTTTCTCTGAGACAGGGTTTCTCTGTGTAGCTCTGGCTGTCCTGGAACTCACAGAGATCCACCTGCCTTTGCCTCCTGAGTGCTGGGATTAAAGGTGTGCACCACCACTGCCCAGCTGGAAATAGTCATTGTTAAGATACCTTTTCATAGTAAGAAAGTCAGAGTACTGCAGATGGCCTCAGAGCTGTTCTGTTTTATACTAAGAAGCAGTTCTTCAAGACAGTTGCTTCTCTATTGACATGATAGCACAGCTGAACTTAAGATACCTTGTGACTTATTTTTTCCTAATGGGATAGAAGTAAAGAATTATCACTTTATGTTACAGGAAGTGGAGATGCTGAGCAGTTCAAAGGCGATGAAGGAGCTCACTGAAGAGCAGCAGAATCTACAGAAAGAGCTTGAGTCTTTGCAGAATGAACATGCTCAGAGGATGGAGGAATTTTATATTGAACAGAGAGACTTAGAGAAAAAGTTGGAGCAGGTGATGAAGCAGAAATGCACCTGTGATTCAAACTTAGAGAAAGACAAAGAGGCTGAATATGCAGCCCAGGTGAGTATGGCAGTCTGTAGCATGGGCTAGACCTTACTGTCAAGGCGTTACTTTTGTCAAGTCAGGCTAGGTTTCAGGATAGGAAATTGTTTTAAGCACAGCTTTTATTCACTAAGGTAGTGTATTCTCTTTCTTTCCCCTCTTCTTCCCCCCTTTATTCTGTTTTCATTATTGGAGTTTGTGGAGAGCATATCACTGTATAGTTGAAATGAGAGCTCTGTCTGTCTCCCAAGTGCTGGGATTAAAAGTGTGTGCCACCACACCTGGCTCCATAAAAGTTTTTAACCTTTATTATTTTCACTTTTAATTGATATTCTGTGATTTAGTTATCTAAGTTACTAATGTCTAGTACTCCGTGTATAAAATTTCGCATCTTTTTGGGCTAGGGATTGTAGCTGATTGGTAAAGCGCCTGCTTCACGTGCATAGGACCCTGCGTTGAGTCTCTAGCACCATAGAAATGAATAAGCAAGTAAAGAGAATCTAACTTTTCATTATTTTGATAGAGTAAGATGAGCTTTTGTTCCAAGTTAGCAAACAAACTATTGCCTACTCTGTTTGGAAGTGGAGGCAAACATAAGTAAGGCTGTGTTATATCCTCACAAGTATGGGGAAGATGAGCACAGGAACATAGCAGCGGTGGCGTGCCAGAGCGACGCCATGAGCCTTTGTGAGAGCACCCACATGCTCCTTTCTCTTGACACTCCTAGTCCTCCAGTCCACTGTCAGTTGTCACAAGTATGAGGTGTTCCAAGATATGCAGGAAAACGGTTCATTTTGTAAAAAAGCAGGTGACGGTTTGTTTCATAACCATGGTAGGATGATTTAAGTGGGGAAAAAGTGAAAGTGATGGAAACTAACATAGTCTTTTAAATCACACAGCTGGCAGAACTGAGGCAAAGGCTAGACCATGCTGAGGCAGACAGGCAAGAACTCCAAGATGAACTCAGACAGGAGCGAGAGGCGAGACAGAAGCTCGAGATGATGATAAAGGAGCTGAAGTTGCAGATCGTGAAATCGTCAAAAAGCTCCAAGGAATAGGAGCTGAAGAAGAGACGTACCTGGATTTGGGTGGCAGGTCTTCATGTTTGTCGCTTGCTTTGAAAATTGAATTCTAACATCTTATTTGCATGAAGGTAGCTAGGTATTCTGTTTGTTTGTAGGGCAGCAAAAGTGAAGAATATATATTAATACAAATTTTTCCATTTCCAAATGAATGAAAATGTATGCTTCTTTGTACTTTTTCCAGTCAGCTTGGTAATATTAACCTATGTAATTTGAACCTGTAGTTAGTCAGTCTACCTGTATTTCTAAGAGTTACATACTTTCCAAAGCTGCATTATGTGGTGGAAAGTACCGGTGTCAATTTTGTTATGCATTATTTTAGGCTCGACTTTAGATATAGAGGTAACGTTTATGATACAAAGCTACTCACTCTGTAGCCTTCTCATTGCAGAATCTCGGGACTTTTATACACTGAGCCTGTTGTTACTTTTGTTCAGGTTGTAGAATGAGTTTCTCCTGGTTTCCTCCTAGAGGAATTGTACTGATGAAATGATAGTACCACTTCCCCAACATACAGTGGGGGGCAAGGAAGCACGCTTTGCTGTGCCCTGATGCTGCACACAAGAAGCAGTTGTAATTTGTCTTTCTGTTTAAGAGTGACTATATCTAGATATGTATGTGTGTGAAACTTCAGAAAATTAAAATGATTTCTGAACTTTTCCTGTTAATAGTGGTGTGAAAGTAGTCATTCGTGTTCACGAGGAAAATGGATTCCACTGATGTACGTTGGTCCCTATGTAACTCATAATCCTCTTGTACAGTTTTTATATGTAGTCTTAAGAAGGTCTTATGAAATTTATATAATGGCTTTTTTCTTTTAAATTGTAAAATACTAAATATCTTGAAGGTTATTTTGGACTTTTGTATGTTAAATGTTATCTTAAAACTTGCACAAATGGACCATTATGACTCTTTAATTTTTTTTTAATATTTTATTTATTTTATAAAGAGTGGAAACTCTTTACTGGAATAGAAAGAACTCTAGAGTCAAGCTAAAACACAGAGGGAATACAGAATATGGGGAAATTTTTAATACTGATCTTAAAAAAAAGTCAATTTGATGGTAGAGCAACATATGCAGCAAAGCAACCAAATGGTTCAGAATGAGGTGATACAGGTAAAGGTTGAAGGGACACATGATAGAAAATAAAAGATCAAAAGTTATTTTGATAACATGCTGAATTACCATTTCATATACCGAAGAATAGGCAGTAGAAATTAAATACATTATATAATATATACTATAAACATAATATCAAGAATAATGAAGAAAATAATCTTCAACAAGTATTTCAGACATATACTTCCATGATCCTCTTGAGGTTGCATCTGACTCAGCAGCAGTTTGGGTGCCTTCTTTTAATGGGGTCTTGAGGGTCAAATTCTCCTTAGATTCATAACAAAAAGCCTTGGAAGGGTCAAAGTGCCTGATGCCCAGAGCTTTTTCCAATTCTCCCTGAAGTCTGAGCTCATTCTGCTTCCTTTTAACAAGCTGAGACTAGAGTTTTGACACCTCCAATTTGAGTTGGCTATTTTCATCTTTGAATTTCACAGCATGTTTGATTTTTTGCTTTAGATTCTGGTGACCCAGTAGCTGTGCATATGAGTCTCTGTGTTTATTTAGCTGTTCCTGAGTTGCACCATGTTCATTCAACAATGCCTGCCTCTCTGCTTCAAAGGCATCCTGTTGTTGCTGAAAAAGTTTAGTTTTGTCATACAGTTCTTCATATAGGAGATGCCATTTGTTAATTTCCATGGTTAATTCTGTCACTACATTTTCTTTCTCTGCTGTTCTTTCTCCTTCCTCTTCCAGCTGCTTCCTAAAGTCTTCATCTTCTTGTCTGAGTTGATTTTGCAAATCAGTTATTTTCTCAAGAAATGAAGATGTGTTTTCTCTAATTTCTGCTTCTTTCAGTGTTGATCTGTTCTGCAAGTCTTGAAGCATCTTTGCATCTTCTTGAGTTGTGCTCTCAGCTGTGAATATCTGTTGTTGAACATCTTCTACACCTTTTTTCAGCCATAGTTACTTTTTTCTTGTATAGTCATAGTCTCCAGTTTAAGATCTTCTGTTTCCTTAAGTGTTGATGACTGATAGCTTTCCAATTGAGCAGTGATGTCTCTCAGATTCTGTGCTGTGTTTTTATACTTCTCTTGTGCAGTCAAGGTGGCTTGGGCGTGAGCGGCAGTACTTCTCTCCAGTTCAACTTCTTTCTCTCTCAGCAGGTTGTGTAGCCGCTTCAGTTGTTCTGCAGTTGACTTTGTTTCCTCTTCCAGCTGTTGGACCAGCCTTTCACTCTGCTCCTCCTTCTGCTGGACCACATCCAACTCATCCAGGGCGAGCTTCAACTCTTCTTTAAAGACATTCTTCTTGGAAGTATTTCCTCCTGAGAAGAGCAGAGCTGCTGCTGAAGACGAGCAGACAGTTCCTTCTCCTGCTGCAGAAGTGACTGGCTGTGCAATTCTTTTGGTGGCAGATTTTCATATTCTTACCTTTTCAGAACCAGCTTCTCTGTTAGAAACTGTATCTCAGCGCTGAGACTTTCAGTCCTTTCTCCACCCTTGCTGACAAGATTGTCTCTTTCCATTTCAAGCAGCTGACATTTAACAGTCAGGTCTTCTGTTTGCTTAGAAAATGTAACGCGTTTTCCTCAAGAGATTGCTTAAGACTTAAAATCTCACGATCCTTCTCTTTCAAATCTTCTTCTAAATGGGTAATACCTAGTTTGTATTTTTCTACTTGATCAGATGCACATCTAATTTCTTCTAGTTTTTCTGCTTCAGATTTTTCATCGATCTTTTCTTTCTCTATTGAAACAAGTTTTCTCTCCAGCTGGACTTTTTCCCCCTTAGACTCAGCGAGGTCCTTCTGAGTGGCTTGCAGCTTCCACTCCATGCCTTCCTGTTTAGCCATCATACTCTGAACAACAGAGATGACCTCATCTTTGTCTCTCTCTTATTTCTGAGTTTCATCAACTCCAGGCTTAGAGTTCTCATGTTCTTTTGATGACTATCTTCAGAAAACGTAGACTTTAGTAGCTTGTTGGCTCTGGTTAGCTCAGTAAGCCGTTTTGCCAGTGAAACATTACTTGCAGAGAGATGTTTTTTTCTCTGACTGCTGCATTTAGCTTTGCTTCTGTCTTTTCCAACTCAGATTCCATGTCCTGGATCCGTTTGTCCTGAGTCCCTTGCTCTTGCAAAAGAATATAAATCTGTTTTTCTAATCTCATCACATCTTTATAATTCTTCTGAGACTCCTTCTTTGACACCAATGTCTTTGCTTTTTTAGCCGAAGCAAGCAAGGTCATATCTTTGTCAATGTTAAGGTTTTGTTGAGATTTTCTTTGGTTTTTAAGTCTTTGTGATTTCACTGGTCCTTTCATTGCTTCTGAAGTTTTAACATCATAAGCACCTGGAGATGGAGCAAAACCTGAAGGGTCATTGAATCTTTTCAGGGATGCCTTAGGAAAGGACATTCTCACGCCTGTTAAGATCAAGAATTTACCATCAGCTAAGAATATGTGGTAGGTTAATAATTCACAATTGAAGTATCTGCTACTAGCAGGAATTTTAGATGACAAATGAATTCCGTGATTTGGGGAAGGGCACCCTCTGCACTTTTCTTTGTTGTTTCTTTGCACATAAAGTCTGACATTTTTATCACCAAATTTCACATTAGTAGATGCTTGGCTTGAAATTACTAGGGAAAATTCTTGGCAAGCTTTGCATTTTTTGTTTCGTTCTGTTTGGCCTCCAACTTGCAGGGGTCCTCTTGCCTCTGCCTTCCAAGTGTTGGCTTAACAGGCATGAGACCCACCACCGCTGGCCATGTGCAGGTTTTTTAGGGATGTTCCTGAAAGCAGCTCTGGCATTATCCTCTGTTTCATGTGTCCTGTGCTGTCTCAAGGCACTACATGCAGTGACTTGAGATCTGTGCTCCACACTGTGAGACATCAGAGCCCTGGGTTATCACACCTGCTTATGGTCGTATTTTGTTTCATGATACTTGTCTAAAAGCAACTTTTCTACTTTCCAAAAGGGCATTTGTTTCCTAAATATATTGTGACCTAACTGTGGATTTATTCTACTATGTTCTATAATTTAATGTATTGGCTTTTGTAACCTCCTTGGGAGAAACATGTTAAGTGACACAGGGACCATTGATGTCATTTTATTTAGATCTGGAGGAAGGAAACCGCAGGCATTTGTAAAATAGCCTTAGCTTAGTTGTCAGTTCATTGTATCCCAGCTTGTGTGTGTGGGAGGCAGACTCAAGGACTTGCACCATTTATTTTTCTGACAGACTCAGAAGTATTCTGCTTATGTGCTGCTTAGTAAGTGTGACTTTTCTAGTCTTGATGAAACTTGCCTCGTGACATTGTTGAGTGTCGTCTTCACTTCCCAGAAGATGAAATGATGTGCCATCGTTTTCTGTTTAAACTTCCTTAAAAGTAATTTTTAATCAACTGTAAATATCATATCTATATTGTTGAACATAACTTTAATTTACATTGCACCATATAGCTTGAAAACAAACTTTGAAATTCTGTAATACTCCACAAGTGACCTCTGCTAAAATATCCATATGAAGCTTACTTCGTGCATGCTCGTTTTGTGTGCTGGTTGCTATCTTAAGGTTTGCTTTGGTGTTAGGTCTCATGTGGTATGCCAAGTTCACTAGGCAGGCAGAGTTTCTTTCAGTGTCCATACTCTGTTCAGGAAGAAATGAGACCATTTATTCTGAAAAGCTATGTTTAGGAGTGGAAGAAACACGGTGTTAGCTTTTACACCGAGCAAAGGGTGGTTTCTCTCTGTGGTCCAGACTCCGAGGAATCTGCACCAACTGTGTAAAGTGCAGAAGCTCCTGCCATCAAGGACAACCACCTGCTCATCACAGCCCAGACTGAGCGCTGAGATTCTACCAACAACTTAGGTTTGGCTCGTGCTTTAACATTTTTGAAGTATAGTCTTTCGCTTGAATTTCTTGTGTTTTGGAAGATAAGGATGTTTTATGCTTCTTGAGCTAATTTTATAACATATTTAATATATAACCTGTTTATATGTAAAATCTTTTGTACAGGGGTGGGAAGGAATAATGAAAAAACTGATTTGTGTATAGTGAATTACAAAGCAGACCGAAGTCGGTGAAACAAGGAGTAACTGCAGTGTTTGCAGGTTCCCCACATCTCTCCAGAGTCCGTCAGAGCACCCGGTGTCTGTGTGTCTATGGCTCATGTCTGCAGAAAAGCAAGATGTAAAGGAAGCACAAGTAATAGAAACGTGCCCGAGGTATTTCCCCCTAGCAAGAGCTGCAAAGCTAGTCCTGAAGGGTTTTCATCTACTTCTGGAAGGTCTGCTCAACATGTTATGCTTTGAGTGAGTAGGGAAGGATATTCGTTTTTATTCGTCCGTTATGCATTTAATATTTAGGGCAGGACGTTACAAACTGACGACAAATTGTGTTCATGCTATATACATCTGCTCCTGTTAATGGTTTCATGGAAGCAATCAGCAATATGTGATATGAACTGCTGCATTATAAATTATACTTGTGGAACTGAGATATTTAAACAGAACTTAAATTTTTTTTCTAGTGTAAAATACTTAAGCATTTCCACTATTGGAAGAAAAGTATATATGGGTATTTTGTATTGTATCTTGTTTAAAAGGACAGTCTTTTTTAATCTTCCCACTTAAATGGCTTTTAAAATATGTAATACAATTTGAAGCTTGTTTAGAAATAGAGTTAGATGTCTTATATAGTGCTACTGTTTTGGAATTAGAAACTGATGAAATACACAACATTTTAAAATTAAGCCCAGAAAACAAAATAGTGTTTAAAGTTAGTTTAGTAAAAAAAGAAATTTTTAAGATTTTTTTCTTCAATATAAGATACCTCACTT